GCCTCCCTGCTCCCACTGGCCCCCTGTCCTCTGCCCCCAGTCCCCTCTCCCCTGCCCCCCACTGGCACCCTGTCCTCTGCCCCCAGTCACCTCTCCCCTGCCCCCCACTGGCACCCTGTCTCCTGCCCCGGCACCCTGTCCCCTGCCCCAGCACCCTTCCCCAGTACCATGTCCCCTGCTCCCACCAGCACAGTTGGGGCCACATTAGTGAGGCTTGGGGATTTTTTGGAGGAGTTATTTGTTTGCATCTCACTTGTGTGGCCCTGTGATGGCGCGTCAGGGATCCCCCTGATCCTGCACCCCCGTAGCAGCAAGAGGAGACTCCGCCAACCGGTAGAATAGAGAGGGGTTATTGCTGCTCCAGGATACAGCCCAGCGTGAGCGAGATGTGGGTAGAAGGAGGGGGCCGGGCAGCAGCAGAGACTTGGGGTAGGGGTGCCTAGGCCCCTGGACTCGGGTCACTGTCTGCGTGACCTGAGGTTCCTCAGGCGATCCCCCCACTGGGCAGTGCTTACAGATGCAGGTCGGTAAGGGTCTGACAGCCCAAGCATAGCGACCAGTGAGGTACCGGCACTACATCACAGGCCCCCAACTGACTTTTCTGTGGGTCAGTGACCCCTGACTCAAAACAGGTTCCCCACCCCTCTCAGAAATAAAGACAATGACACAGTATTTGATTTGAAAATGAAGCCTGGCCAACAAACCCCCGATTGGGGCCAAGCCCCCATCTGGCTGCAGCATCAGAACACTCCTGCACCCCCGCCCCTCAAACCCTAGATCTGAGTCTGTCATAGACTGGACCCCCCTGCCCTGAGCCCCTCACATCCCCCAACCCAAATTCCTGCATCCTCACAGCCCTTAGTCCCCCACCCCTCCATCTGACCCCAACACACTCTAGCCTGGGGCCCCCTCCCCGAACCAGCGTCCCCTTCTCCACTCCTCCTGCATCCAAATTTCCTCCCAGAGCTTGCACCTCTCACCCCTTCCCACCCCCAAATCCCTCATTCCCACCCCAGAGCCCGCACCTCCTGTCTCAACCCAGTGATGGTCCGGCTAGACTGCAGGAGGTTTTCCGGGATTCCAGAGATATCCTGGAAAAACTCTTCTGCATCCAGGGACGTGTTTTTTCTTCTGCTTTTTTTAGTGGAAGAGCAAACATGCTCTTTCAGTAACCCCTGTATTCCTATTCCACGAGGAATACGGGGGCTTCCAAAAGGAGGGGTTTTTCTGACATTTGGTCCAGTCTAGACAGGCCAAATATTGGAAAAACCCCTTCCTACAGAAGAATCGAAAAACAGCGGCAGTGTAGAGTGTATAGGGCTGGCCATAGCAAGTGATGGAGAGGAGGAGACTAGAGAGGGCGGGGCTTCAAGGAAGAGGTGGGGTTTTGGGGAAGGATGGGGCGGTAGATCTTGGCTTGTTCTGACATTTAAAAAGTGCCCTTGGGTGTAAAAGGTTGGAGACCCCTGCTCTAGACAGTGCTTGGTCCTGCCGTGAGGGCAGGGCACTGGACTCGGTGACCTCGCACTGTCCCTCCCGGGCCTAGGGCCTGCGATTCTATCCTTAGTGCACGGGGCTTCTGAGGATTGTGTGGTCTGAGTGTCACTGAGCTCTGCTGGGGGCTGGGAAGCGCCCGGAGACAGTAACCGGGGGATAGCCAGAGCCTGGGGGTGTCGAACGCCCGTCGATGGGCGTTGTCCAGCCCAGGAGCGCAGTGCAATGGCCTAGAAGCGGCTGGGCTTTGCCTGGGACTCAGCCGTGCCCCGGAGACGCCTGGACTCGGGCTGGTGGGGGGAGAGTGCAGGGCGGTCTCAGGCCCTAACCGCTCCTCTCCTTTGCTTGCTTCGCTGCAGGAAGTTTGAGTTGTACAGCATGGCGTGGAACCTGCAGGAGGACTTGCGGGCCCCATAGGTACGGCCGGGGCTGGGGACCCCACCGAGCGGAGACGGGACGGGGCTCTGTGGCCTTTGGATGGTCTCCTTCCCCAGAAGCTGCTGGTGCTGCTCCAGGCCAGGGCGGGTGCTGGGTTTGCAGCGGGTCCATTTGGCTCCCTGGCCCCCTCTCCTCGGCTGATTAACGGGAAGGCTTGAAGCCGGGTGTGAACCTCAGCTCAGCCCTCCGTTTGAATCCTGGTCCGCAGCTGCACTCGCTGGTTGTCTTCCCGACTAGCGTTGATCCCAGCTCGCTGGTTTACAGCTGCCTTAGCCCTTGCTCTAGCTCCTGGCTGCCGAGAAGCTGCGCTCTAGCCGGGTTCCCCGGGGGTTTCACTGCCGCTTGTCGCCTGCAGCCTTGCTGAAGAACAACCTCAGGAGAGAGAAGTCCCCCAGCTCCCGGCCGCTTCTGGAGATCTACTCGGCCTCAGGCCTTCCCCTGGCCAGCATGCCGGTGAGTGCCCAGCCTGGCACGGCCTGCTAGTGCCAACGAGTGACCTCTGGGCTGGGCGGAAGCAGTAGTGTGTGTCGTGCTGCCCGCCTCAAGCAGCGGGCATGGCCAGGTGCTCCAGCTGTCTCAGCGCTGCCTGGGAAGAGGGGCTGCACACAGCCAGCCGCCCGTTCTGGACCTGGAGGGGCATTATCCAGACGGGAGCTGGAGGGGCATTATCCAGTGAGACCACAGTGTGCTGGCTACCAAAGGTGGCGCGGGCCACCGGGGCTAATAAGATATTGTCTCTGCCACTGCCTTCCTGTGAGGCCTTGGGCTAGTCACTTAGCGTCTTGGTGCCCTGCTCCCCTGCCCGTCTGGTCTGTGCTGGTTGTAGCACTCTTTTTCTGGGTGGGTGCCCAGTGGGGGCACAACCTGAGCTGGGTCCTTGAAGGGTTTCTGTGACTGCAGAATCCTTCAGGCAGGGGAACAGGCCAGGGCTGGGTCTGAGCAGCAGTGGTGGTGGGGAAGAGGGGCGGGGCTGGCCGTGGGGAGGTGGGGTCCAGGAGGAGACAGGCTGCCTTGTGGCGGGGGGGGGGGGGGGGGGGGGGGAGGGCACGCA